CACACTCAGCATCCATGTATCACGCACAACTCCCTCTACACCCACACTCGCACGCAAATACATATATCACATACACATGCATTAACTCATCCTCAACATCCATGTACCACACACACACATACCCCCCTACGCAACTTCTCGACGATATGCGTCTTGCGCTTGGCAGCTGTCTGAGCCTATACTAAAACTCAAAACCATATACCACACAAATATATTCATATACTCATCCTCCTCATCTATATACTACACACAATCCTACAATTCCTTTCCATGGTCTCCTACAAGTACAACGCTCTGCCGAATACACTATCCATTCTCCGCATCCACACATCTCACCCACCTTCTTGCGCTTGGCAGCTGTCTCGGCCCATACTCAACTCAAAATCATATACCGCACATATTTATCCATACACTCATCCTCATCCTTTATATACCAAACGCATACACTCAAACATTCATACATGCATACACACTCATCTATATAACGAACATACACACAACTCTACCCTCCTCCTCCGCACCCACACATCTCACCCACCTTCTGGCGCTTCCGTGCCTTGCGCTTGGCAGCTGTCCCGGCCTTCTGCGCAATGATCGTCTCAGAGAGTGGTACCATGCTCGTGTCCGGGAGTGGGATGTGGTCCAACCCAGCATCCTCCTCCTCAGGCGAGTGTGCACGTGTAGAGGGGCTCGGTGGGGCGCTGACGCTGTCTTTGCCACTCACATTGACGTCAAACTCGGCCGCATCGCCCTGTGGCGCACTGTCTTCTCGTTCCCCGTTACGCGTCATGCCGTCACCGGCCTGTGGTAAAGACGGGGATGAAGTTTTCGGTTTTTTTTGTTTTGTTTTGTTTTTGTTTTGTTTTTTAATGGGTAGGGAGATGGTGTTGTTGGTCCGGATGTATGTATAAGGAGACTGTTTGATAGACGGGTGTGTGTGGAAGGATTTCGTACAGTAGGTACGGGGTCTGTGGATGGGAGGGAGATCTACGGATGTGGGGTAGAATACGAATACGTGTACAATGGATGTACACATGTATAGGCCTGAGTTTAACACTACCTCTGTGTGAGTACAGGTAATCGTGTAGAGACAGATAGGCGTGAAAAGATGTCCGCATGTGCAAGATATTTGAAAGCATGAACCTACATAGGATACTTGCTATGATATTGAATGTCTCTCTATAT